ACATCTCTGTGTTCCACAGCACGTGTAAAATGTTGTTACTGCGAACCGCGTGTCCCAGCGCGGCCGCTCCGTGCACATCGCACGCTGTAAATCTCAGGATTTTCTGGTTTTCCTCTCTTCCAGGACAACGGCCCTGCCCAGAGCAGGAGGTCGGTGCCCCCCGGGGCTGGGGGCAGCCCCCTGGACAAGCAGCAGGTGCTGAACGTGCAGCACCACCAGCCCCCCCGGCTCTACCCCAACAGCGGCCCCGAGTCGGCGCTCCCGGCCCAGCTGGGCGGGCTCCACATCTCTGCTGCACACAGGTAGGACAGGGCAGGGCTCACACTGCCTGCACTGCTGCTCCTGCCAGCTTGGCTTGGGGGGTGCATGGGGGCTGTGGTGTTCCTGGAGCTCCAGAGAGCGTGGAATCTTAGAACCATTTCAGTTGGAAAGACCTCCAAGATCAGGTCCAACTGCTGACCTGACACTGCCAAGGCCGAGATGCTGGGCTGGGCTCCTGCCCCGTTAGTCAGGGGTAGGTGGGTTGTCCAGCCCTGGCACAGGCTGCTGAGGACAGTGGTGGAGTCCCCACCCCTGGTGGGATTTAACAGATGTGTGGATGTGGCACTTGGTGGTGAGCTTGGCAGTGCTGGGGTTAACAGCTGGACTCAATAACCTTGGGCTTTTCCAACCTAAACAGTTCTGTGATTCTGTGAGTGTCACAGAATGTACTGGGTTTTTTGAAGTGTATATCTGGGACAGGATGGAGGGTGCTGCCCTCCTAGGAGTGGGGATCACCCTGCTGCAGACCCAGGAGCAAACACCTGCCCTGGGAGCCGGAGGTATCCACCAAAAAAATGAACCCCAGTAACTGGGATGTTTATAAATGTAAGATCTGCTCAGTGCAGCTGTCCAGGAGGTTGGGAAATAAATAATGCTCCTAGGAAAGAAAAGGCTTTTGCATAGCCAAGAACGGTTTGGTTGGATAACTCAGACTTTGAGACAGGCCAGGTTGTGGGCTGGGATGCTTTTGTATGGATTATATGGATGCAGATTTATGTTCCTCCAAACTGGCAAAATATCCTGCAAGAAAGCAATGTCTGTATCTCATACGAAGAGCAAAGAGAGTTTCTTTTCAGCTTGGGAACTCTGTGTCTGCACGAATTTGTATTTCAGATGCTGCAAGCCAGCTTATTCCCCGTGCTGCTCTGGGGAAGTTAATGAAGTTGGAAAGAGAGAACTGCACAGAAAATACGGAGAACAAAATCTGGTGTTACCTGTGTGTGAGCCAGGAGATTCACTTGGGTCTTTAAGCAGAATTGGGGCAGGAGTGTGTTCTCTTTGAATTGGTGCTTGGTGAGGATGAGCTGGCCAAACCTGCCCTTTTTCACTGAAAATGTGTGAATTGATGTGGGAGAGGGCTCCAGCAGGGCAGGCAGGCACTTGGGGCCCTCCTGAAGGCTTGGGCTGGCCGGGTCTCACAGGGATGGATCCATGGCTCAGCCAGGATGGCCCTCACCTCCCACAGGGAGCAGGATTGCTGGGGAGTCACTACCAGAAAATGGAGCTCTGGCCTTTCTTTGAAAGTGACTTTTGTTGGGCTTTTTTTTTCCTCTTTGTTTGTTTGAAAGTGAATGTTATTTCTTTTGTTTATTTGTTTAAGCTGACATGAATATAATACCGGTGGAGAAAATGAGCCAGATGATAGCTAAAATATGTGAAGCTGATGGAGTTCAGGGCTCTTGCTATTTTTATTGGTTTTATAATGACCTTGATGACCTCCTCTGTAAAAAGGAAAAGGAGCCCCTTCCCCTGGAGCTGTGCTGTGCACTGGGGCCTCTGGAGCACAACAGCACTTGGACTCAGCTCTTCTCAGCAGGACTTTGAAATATTTTTTATTCCAACTATGCTTTTCATGCTTTGATGTATTGAATGAACTGGAATAATGGTTTAAATTGCTGTTTGTTGTCCGTGTATCCCAACTATGCCATGTACAGACCAGGAGCAGCTTTGGGTCGAGATGCTGGAGGGCAGAGGGGGGTTATGGGGCTCCTCCTGTGTCCCCCCCAGTGGTGGGGTGGTTTTCTCCGTTGAGCTGTGGGCTCTGTTTCTGTACCCACAGAAACACCAGCTTCCCCAGAGGCACCTGTGGGTGCTGAAGGGCTTTGCTGCCGTGCCTGGCACACACTCTGGATGCCCTAACAAGGGCTGGGTGCATCTCCTGGCCCTACATAGTTAACGAAATGCATGTTTTACCCATTCTTTCAGTAAATGCCATGGGTGGCAGAGCAATTTACAGTGTTTGCAAGCAGCTGCCCTCTTTCCTGAAGGCATCTGGTAACTGGGCCAGCTCTTGCTGTGTTGCTCAATTGGAGCCCAACAGGGAACAAGTTTAACCTCCCTGGTTCAGTGGCTCTTCCTGGGCCAGACATCCCTCCAGGCAGGGAAACACATGGGAACAGAGGTGCTTCATTGAATCTGTGGGAATGTGGAGGTTCCAATACCGCCCTGATGAGCTGACAGGAGCTGTTTCTATTTGACTTGAGCCTTTCTTTCTTTGCTTTAAAGCAGCATTGACCCCGTGAAGTCTCTCCCACGGAACAGAAATGGGATTGATGTGGAGTCAGATGTCTACAAGATGCTCCAGGACTATGAAAAGCCCGTCTCAGAGCCAAAGCAGTCTGGATCCTTCCGATACTTGCAGGGCATGTTGGAGGCTGGCGAGAACGGTGAGGAGGTTGGCACCCAAGTGCCCTGTGAGGGGGGACCACCGGGGTGGCAGGTTTCAAATTGGGGTTTCACATACTCAGGCTTACCAAATTGTGTGGCTGACTCGAGCACCGTGTGAAAGCTGGATTTGCAACCAGTGTGGCAGCTGTTTCTCTGCGATGGTTTATGAGACAGGATGGCCTGAAGCGGTTGTGTAAGATCACCCTCGGAGAACTGGGTCTGGTTAAGTAAATGGCATTTGCATAAGGACGTGGGATGGTCCTCAGCAAGGCAGGGATAGAGATCAGGAGCTCTTGGCTCACTTTTCAGGTCTGTCACAGCTTCCTGCCCATGTCGTTAACACATTAAATAATAAGATCCCCAAACTATACATTTCAGTTTCTTTTATTTGCCTTTCAGCCTTAAGTCCATTGGGGCTTTTATGTTCAAACTTTCAGGCTTTGCTTTACGATCATTAGGGCAAGACTCTTCTTTCTGCTTCCTTCCAGGAGCCTCATACCCCGATCATGTGAATCCAGGAACTTAGATTTTATGGGAAAATACCAACTGCTGCAAATCTCATTATGAAGCTGTGAGAGGTAGCAAGTTGGGCTTTTGCACTTTGGTTTCTGTGTGTATAAAGTGATGAAGTCTGTTCTTTGACTAGAGGGATGTTGGTTCTTGCTTCACAAGAAGCACAATTGCAGATAATTTCTGAGCACTGTGGGTTTCCACCAGTACTGGTTTTCTCAGTGGGACTGAGGCATAGCTGCAAAGCATGAGAGGGATCAGCCTTGGAACCACTGGGTGTACCTTTACAGTATATTTAATATTAATATTCCAGCCCCTGGACTGGCAGGAAAACTGATGTTAAATACATGCTCCAGTTGGACTTTCAAGTCCTTCACCAAGAGCAAGGAAGAGTCTGCTGCTCCCCCAGGTCTCCTCATTAGGAAGAAGCAAATGGGAAGTGACTGTGTTAATCCCAATTAGTAACACTGCTGCCTTCCTCCTTTCTCTGTGCCAGGGAAAGGGAATAAAATTGAAGCTTTACTGGTTTGCTCCTGGCTTCCCCTGCATCCTGCAGCCCTGAGCTGGCAGCAACCCAGTGCTGAGAGGAGGGGAGAAAGAAAAGGCTGTGGGCTGGGGGAACGGAGGACAAAGAGGTGCCAAGGCAGTCCCCACATCCTGGGACTGTCCCAGCCAATCCTGGCTGTCTGCTCATCCCAGCCCTCTCTTGGCACCAGCCCATCCCCAGTGCAGCACCGCGTGTTCTGCTGGAGCCCGAGCTGCTGCCAGGTACCAGCCAGCACGGGACAGGCTGGGCAGTCACTGTCACCTCCCAGGGCTCTGCCACCCTCCCTGCCCCTCAGCTGTGTGCAGGGGACCTGTGGTGTGAGTGCCTGCAGGCACAGCCTCACTCTTGCCTTGGTTGTTCCAACACTGTTTATTCATAAGGGATGAGAAATTAAGTGAAAAGCATCTCTGCTGGCACAAAGCTCTCTGATGTTCCAGCACGCTCTCAATCCCCAGGAGTGTTCCTGGCTGGGTTGGTTTACAGCTGCCACCCCTGCTCCTTTTTCCTTAAGCCTAAAATTATACATTTTGACCCTAGCCTTTTAAAGTCAAGCTCTCCTCTCCAGAGGAGCCGAGTGTCTCAGACAACAACCTGTTTTATATGGAATGTGTTTCTGCTGGAAGCATTGCAGCCCCATCCCACCCCCTTAGGGAGCAATGCTTTGTGCTGGGGTGGAGGCTGGAGGAACAACAGCACTTGCCTTTAAGTGCCCGTGGCCCAGGAAGGAGGCTGGGGAGAGCCTCCTTCACTGCAGCCATAATGGGGACAGCAATGGTTGAGGTTGTGGAATTAAAGCATCTCCCTGCCTTGCTGAGGACCATAAATCACAATGAGACTGTGGGCTGGTAACTAGAAGGAAACAATCCATCGTTTGAGAAGATGGGAAGCAGCCCTCTCTGCAGGGTTCATTTTGCTGTAAAATCCCTTTCTTTCTCTTCCCCCCCTTTCTCTTCTTTTTTAAGCAGCTTATCCAAGCACTCAGTATGAGAGACAGTGACAGCTTAACTGTTAAATGTTGGCAGATGAGCATGTCTAGTCCAAGCACTCCTTATCTCCTGCTGGGGGAAGCCAACAGCTCCAGCAGTTGTTTCAGTTTATTCCCAGCAAGGCAGCGGAAAGACTTGACAGGGGCTTGGCTGGACCCAACTGAGCACTGGGGGGAACCCTGGGGGGGAGCAGCCTCCTCTGCTCCTGGGCAGGCATTCACATGTATCAAGGCTCTTGGCATCACCAAACACTGTGTTATACCTTGGGAAGTGGGGTTTGGTGGGGAATTGGTCCTTTTTGGTTTTGTTCCCTTGGCTGGGAGCACTGTCAGCGTTGGCCCCTGGATCAGAGCCGTGGCTGGAGAGGGGGCTGTGGTTGGGGGTACCTGTGCACCCCAGGGGGGAGTTGGGTGTGCACCCTCCTCCCAGGCAGGCCCAGAACAGCAGGCATCCCTGGGCACGCTGGATGGGGGAGCAGAGGTCTCTCCATGGAAGGAGCTTTGCTGAGCTCTGCCCTTCAGAGTGTACCATGTGAACTTGCACGGGGTCAGGGAGCAACCAGGAGTGATGAAGCACTGGCTCCAGGCACTAAAAATTCCCTCTAGGAAAGGCAGAGACATTTCTGGGTCCGTGGGAGGTGCTTCCACTGGATTTTGCTCTGAAGTTTCCAAAACCAGAACAATGCATGCAGACACCTGGGTCAGACATGCCTGTGCCCTGCAGAGACTCCCTGGGCTTGAGGGCTGGAAGCAGTCATTGAAGATGGACTGAAATACTCTGGAAGCTCAGGAGAGTGGGAAATCAGAACACTGGAGAACGGCTTGTTCATCCAAGAGCTCCTCTACTGCTTTTCCAAACTCTGTCAGCTGATGGACTAAAATACATTGTCCTTTTTCATGAGCTTTTCTTTCTACAACCTCAGGCTGTCACAGAGGAACCACAGATCAGTATGTACCAAACAGACCAGTTGTGAGCCATGGAAAACCGTGCAGTGGATTCTGGAAGTTTTTAAGTGTCCCAGGGGTTGGCAACAAGCGTGTTAGTGTTGTCCAAAATACAAGGGCAGATGGTAGATGGTCTGTAGGGAGGGGGCTGCAACACTGGAAACTCTGCTCTGATATTGTTCATATGTCCAAAATCTTCACTGCTTCCTTTCCTGTGTTGGACCTTTCTATGAAAGGAGGCTTAGTGCCCCAGAAGACCTTATCTTCTATCACAATATTTTGGTTTAGATAATTTGAGCTTAAATGAGCGCTCTAGGAAGAAAAATGCATGTGATTCTATTACTGTTTGTTTTAATTTGCCTCATTCTCCAAAAGGCTTTCCTCTCTGTCTCCTTGACTGACAGTGGATCTACCAAGTGCACCCAAAATGTTGGTGTGATGGAACCTCTCCTTTCTGGAGCTTTTCTGAGCTCTTTGCTACTTATCTTTCTCAACTCACTAAACAGTATTACACCCAAATTCGCCTCCTGTCTCTAGATCACAGTTGCTTTGCCTTTTGACAAGGTCCAGGTACTGAGCTGGTGCTGTCCCAGAACTTCCAAGGAAGTTGCAGGTTCTCTTGTGGCAAGAGAAGTCATCTGACTCCTTAAAAAAAGAAAAAAAAGGCAAAACCAAAGCCGTGAGAGATGGAGTTTTCAATCCATTTATCTGTTTATAATTCTTGGCAGGTGAAAAGCTCGACAGACTGAGCAGCCCCCGCACCATGAAGCCCCCGGTGCCGAAGCTGGGCGGGGCCATGTCGGGGCTGCAGATGCTCCCGGAGTGCACCCGCTGCGGGAACGGCATCGTGTAAGTGCCACGTCCTGGAGAGCCCCCGGGCAGGGGGACACGGCCGGGGTGGGTCCTGCCGGGCACACGGGTTGGGGGTTACAGCAGAATACATTCAGGCCCCTTTCTGGGGTTTTTTTTCTAACCTTATATAAACCTGGAATTGAGGAATACATTTTGGATTGTCCCTTTTAAGGGAATCTCACAGCAAAACAGGGGTGATTGATGGGGTGGTTTCTGCCCTGCTTATCGTAGTAGCTGCCCAGGGACTATGAATAGCAGCGTGGAGCTGGCACTTCGCTGCCTCACAGAGGGAGAAACGCCTTGAGGGTCGAGTAGCAGAGGGTTGTGGGTTAGTTTTGTTTGCTTGTTGAAGAGTTACTCTGACAGATGGATTTTGGGTCTGATTTCAGAGAATACAGGCATTTTACTGCTCTGTTCTGCTGTAATTTATGGTCTGTCGTGATTTATGTTCTGTTGTAATTTACATCCTGCTCATGCCAGCCCTGCTGGCTGAGTGTGGGCTGTGCCAGCCTGTACCCGTGTTCGTGCTGGTGCCGTGGGCTGAGGGCCTGTGCACGAGCTGCAGTGCCATGGCTGGCTCCTGATGTGCAGGGCCAGGCTGAGGGCAGATATTTACTGGCTGCTCCTGATGTGCAGGGCCAGGCTGAGGGCAGATATTTACTGGCTGCTCCTGATGTGCAGGGCCAGGCTGAGGGCAGATATTTACTGGCTGCTCCTGATGTGCAGGGCCAGGCTGAGGGCAGATATTTACTGGCTGCTCCTGATGTGCAGGGCAGGCTGAGGGCAGATATTTAGGGCTCTGCTTTGCAGCGAGCTGTGAGGCAGTGCTGCAGCACACGGGCCGTCCCTTCCTGCAGAAATCCCATGGAACCACTCCTGGAGCAGCGTGGCAGCTTCGGGTGGGCCAAGGTGTCGGGATGGGAACCCACAACCCCCTGACATGTCCCTGAGTGCCATCTCACTGCAGACAGCAGGACAAGCTGTCGGTGCTCGTTCCCTGTGTCTCACTGAGCTCTCCCCGTCTCTCCAGGGGCACCATCGTCAAGGCTCGGGACAAGCTCTACCACCCCGAGTGCTTCATGTGCGACGACTGTGGCCTCAACCTGAAGCAGAGGGGGTATTTCTTCATCGAGGAGCAGCTGTACTGCGAGACCCACGCCAAGGAGAGGGTTAAGCCCCCCGAGGGCTATGACGTGGTGGCTGTTTATCCCAACGCTAAAGTCGAACTGGTCTAAGCCTGGGCTGTGCTCTGCAGAGGTCGGGCCGAGCCCAGAGCCCACCCACGTGCTGCGCTCACCCCCGGCTACCACAGCCCGAGGCAAACTGCCTGTTCCCAGATAAAGCCCTGTACACTTGGGATCTCCGGGGGATGGTGTTGAAAGCTTAAGAACAGGTTTTTCCCTTCTTTTTGACACTCTGCTTTTTGGGTTGCTGCGTTGGGTTATTAGTCTGTGCCATAACCTTGTCCAAGATATGTGTAAATATTGATTAATTCTCTACTCTGTTTCATATAAAACCAGTATTCCTTTTTTTTTTTTTTGTGTGTGCCCTCCCTGTAATTAAAAAGCAAGGAAGATGTTTTAAAAGCTCGAAGAAAATAAGGCACTTTAACAAGAGAAGCTGACTCCTATATCCTGACCCTAATCTCCTGCCCTGTCACTGTCCCAGGTATTAAAAATTGACCCCTGGGAGTCAGGATGTGGTATCAATGGGTCCCCAGCTCAGCCCCATCCCAGCAGCTGTGCTAAGGAAGGGTGATCTCTTAAAGCACTAATTATAGTGAAATTCTCTGGATCTGGGCACTGCAGTTGGAGGCTGAGACGGACTGATTAGAGCTCCCCAAGAGATCTCCACACTTAAGCCTGTGACAAGGGTTTTCTCTACCTTTTTCCACTCCTAATTCAGTTGTCTTCTGTCACCTAATCACCCAAGCACACCTTTAAAGGACACTGAAATAGCCTGGAGCACCCTTTGGATATCCCCACTTCCCACACTCCTGCCCACAGCTGCCCTTGCTTTGGCCATTCTGACTCTTCCCATTTTTTTGCTGTATTTTTGTAGTCCTTTATTTCTAGATCCTCAGACTGCTGCCATTTGGGTCTGCCTCCCAGCAGAGAGAGAGTGATGAAATCCCTCCAGGCACTTGGGGAGTAACTGGAGCTGGGGTGAGTCCCAAGGCAGCAGGATTGGATTTATACCCATGTCCCAAGGCTGTGCTTTCAGTCAAGTCCATCATCCACTTTATTTGAGGGGAAAAGTTTTTGTGGATTTTGAGATGTTGCTTTTTTTAGTTGAATGTGGTTTTTTGCAATGTTGCTTTATTAGAGAAATGTGGTTTTTTTCATGTTAGTGCTTGGAGGAGAGAGAGTTTAGTCCCCAGCTGGGTGCTGCTGTGGGTGGTGATGGGAGCCTGTGTTCAGTACCACGAGGTTATTTCTGCTTTGCAACAGCCTCCCTGCTCTTTCTCTTCACTCTGGGAGAAGGAGGATGTGGGGAAGAAAAATAAAATGTCTGTGCTCACTTTCCTTCCAAGGAAAAGGAAAATAAGAAATGGGGTGATGGGCAAAGCACCCCTTCCCCTTCTGGCTCTCCATAAAGGGAAAATTGGGACTGGAGGAGGGTTGGGAGCATGATTCCAGTTGGGGCTGAGCAGGCAATTTCTTCCTACAGGTTCTGCACCTCAGAAGGGATTTTAGGGTGTTACTGAGCTACATCTAGACCTCTTCACACAGAGACTTGCAGGGACTGAGCAGCTCCTGTCCAGCTGCAATCCCCACACGTTGCTGGGTCAAACTCTTGTGCCTGTAGCTTGAAATTTCAGGCTTCCCCCAAACCCAAGAGTGAATGCAGCTCGACTGAGTGATGGGGAACTCATGACACAAATGGCACAGGGGTTTGTCTCCATTTTCCAGGCAGATGGTCACAGCTGCCAGTGGTGCTGTTTGTCACTCCCTGGGGCTCTTGTCCCTGTTTGACTCCATCTGCATGGTGGCCATGTCCTGTGGGATGCCAGGGGTCTGCAGCCCTGGCACAGGGAACACCAAGAAATTCATAAATTGGTTCATTGCCTTCATTTTAAACACTCCACTGAGCAGGCTGCTGGCAGGGCACCCTTGGTAGTCTTGCTTGGCTGCCATACCAGTACAACACTGGGACTGCTGGGCATGGGGCTTTGCTTTCAATTTGACCCCAAGTTCCCACAGATCAGTTTTTCCACATGGCATCTTGTGATACCCCTTCTCAGGAGTAATCAATTCACTTGATCCCCCTGTGGAGCTTGGAGCTGCCTCATACAACCTCATCCCAGGGCACACTGATTCCTGGCTTCAGGCACCTCATTCCCATTGTGGGGTTTGCAGGAGGTGCCACAAGCGAGTGTCACCTTTTGTGTCACCAGGTAATGCTGTTTAACTCTGTAAAACATGGGGAGGGTGCATTTTGTATGAAATACAAAATAAAACTGTACTGTTTGGTTTATCACTTAGCTTGGCCTTTGCCTGGTCCCTGGTGGGTCTCTCCTGGGGCAGGACTCCTACATGTGGGGGTCTCTCAGCATCCAGGTGAGGAGGACACGGGATAAACTTCAAAAAGCATCTTGGAGACAGCTGAGCTTTTCACGGGGCACTGAGAGCTTGTCTGAAGTTTGGCCTGTCCTTTGGTGGGGAGTTGGTTGTGTTTTTAACTCATGAGACCTTCCTGGGCCCCTGCATCCTGTAGGGTGTGGAGATGGGAAGGGCCATCGTGTCTGCACTGGTGCCTGGCTCCTGTCCCCAGTGTGACCCAGCTCCTCCTGTGATGGTCCAGAGCTTCACCACATCTGCCCCTGCACAAGGCCAGTGACTTGGGGTTTTTGGCAACGTTTAACCAGTCCCAGTGACGCTCCAAGGGAACCTGCTCCTGCCTGATGGCCCAGGCTGTCACCAGATGGGACCCACGGCTCTGTGGGGCTGGGGCTGTCACTGCCCTGCCACTGCTGGAGTGATCCAGGCCTTCTTCCCAGGGGGAGGTTACAGCTGACCCTGGGGGCACAGAAGCCCAATGGGTGGTGGGAGTGTGGGGGATTGGGAGGTGAGGGCAGGCTGGGATGAGCAGCCCTGTCAGAGGGATGTTTGCTTCTGTAGCTCAGTCCACATGGGGCTGGTTTTAATAGCTGATGGGGATTTGAATGTGGTTTTAATAGCTGATTGGGATTTGATTCATTGGTGTGTGGGAAAGTCAGAAGGGATGTGAGGTAAGTGCCTCCAATAGATGTTAACCTAAAAGGTTTTATTTGGCAAGTGTTCATATATGGAAATTGTTGCTTGTATGTGCCTAAAATATTTAAAAGACAAAGCCTCTGAGGATCTGCATGTGGCAGGAAAGATTTCCATAGTGTGGGTCTGTGTAACTCCATGTCTAATTAGTGCACATATTCAAATAATTAACATGCTTATGACTCTCCAATTAGTGGTTTTCTCTTCACCCTTGAATGCACACATGTGATGGGTGTGTTTCTGTGGTTTAGCCACTGCCCTCCCTGGCCCCTCTGCCCTGGGCATTGCTGCTGGGGGGGCTTCAGCCCCACAGGGTGATCCCCAGGGGCAAGACTGGGGGGACGTGGGGGTCTGAGCAGCCCTGGGGCCCCCCAGACCTCCTGCTGCCCACACAGACACTGTGACCAGCCCAACACGGGGAGCCTCCTCCCTGCTTTAGAAAAAAAGAGGTGTAAGCTCTGTGATGAAGCACAGCATTTATTAACTAAAAGTGGGATCTGGGCCAGTCTGATTCAAGTTCTAATTGTTTAACTTTTTCCATGTATCATCATTAAAGTTTCCTACTTAGCTAGGCATTATTTCCACCACCACACCCCCATTCTGTTGCAGCTTTTGTTTGGAGTTGTTTAACTTTGCTTTTGTTACTGGCTGGCTGCCCCAGGAACTCTAAAAAATCTCAGCTGGTCCATTTCTATGAGGATAAAAGTCTTTGTGCCATAGGAGGGGGGTAGAGGGAAAGAGGCTTTTTGGAAAAGTTCCCTCTCCTCCCTTTCTCATGTGTGAAAGAGGCTATTTTAATTACTTTAGGCAAAAAAAAAATCTTCCCCACATGCATAGTAAACCCAGAAAACTGCTCCTAACTCTAAAGAAACTTCTGTGCAAGTTATTCTGCCTCTCTGTTTCTCCCTAGGAAACACCCACAGAGCTCTTCCAGCCCGGGAGCAGCTTCTCCACCAGGACACTTAAATATTTTGAATTTTGAGGCAGTCCTAAAGCAGTTCCTTGTGCGGGGAGGGCAGTGGGGAGGGCCTGGGCTGGGGCCAGCACTGCTCTCGGGGCAGTTGATGTGCACAGGGTCACACGTTACTGTGCGAAGCTGCTGCTCGAGCCCGGTTCAGGCTTTGGGCTTTATTAATGAGAATAACTTCTTCTGAAGAAACACCTTAGTTCTTCACTCCCAAACCCGAGGGGGGTTCTGGGAGGCCAGTGACAAATATGTCCTCCCTGAGCTGATGGACCCAGAGGACACACAAGCTGCTGGCACTGTGGGACCACGGGAGGGCAGGGCTGGGGACACTGAGCACCGTCACTGGAAAAGCTGCCTGGGGGGCCCTCGGGCAGCCACCCACACCCTGCTCCTGTCCCCAGGCACACCGGCCACCCTGTCCCTCCCTGGGCTGTCTGATCTGTCCGTGGGGTGCAGCCTCCCAGCTCCCCAGGCAGGGGGTCCCAGGGCGTTTCCAGCATCGGGGGGAGCACAGGGGGTGCAAAGGAGCACATCGGGGGTGTGATGTGCAGAGGAACGTACGGGATGTGGGGGGGAGAGAGCGGTAAAGGGGTGTGCCTGGGGTGCAGGGGGCTGGGTAGGATGGAGGGGGTAGGTGAGGAGCAGAGGGGGTGCAGGGGGCTGAACAGGACAGGGGGTAGGTGAGGGGCAGGGGGGGTGCCCGTGCAGGGCCGTGGTCCAGGCGCAGCTCCAGGCGGGCGCTGCGCTGTCTCCGGCACCATCTAGTGATGGAACCCGGAATATCCAGCGGGTTCGGGCAGGGCGGGGGAAGAGCCGTCGCTGAGAGGAATCTCGGCGTGGTGAGATGGTTCCTGGGTGGTAACAGCTAAATCCCTTGGAAGGACAGTGCTTTGGGAAACCTCTGGCAAAGATCGCTCCGGGAGAGGTGGTTTTACACCGCGGGGATGGGCTGGATCCCGCCTCTCCTCTGGCAAGATCCTGGACGGACATCCCTGTTGCTCTGGTGCAGCCCTGAGCCGAAGGGTGGGAGGCCAGGGCAGCAGGACAGGGGTGCTGCCCCAGGGCACAAGTGCCTCAGTGCTCTGCTCCTGCCACACCGCTGTGCTGGGAGCGTCTGCTGGTCCCTGCCCTGGCTGGAGTGACATTGCACCAGGGAAAACTATTTAATAAAGTCCTTGGTGAGTGGTGGATAGCCTTGGAAAAGCTGACTCCACCTGAGTAGGTGTTGCTTGGGGGGTTTATCCCCAATTCTCACGCAGGTGCTCCATCTCTCTCGCAGGATTCCTATCAGAAATAAGATTAAAAATAATCACCCTGAGTGCTTGTCTGCCTGGCTCTGCTTAGGAGGGGAAAAGTTCACGCACCACTGCCGGGAACTGGGCAGTGATGGCCACAGTGCCCCTCAGAGCTCCGAGTCCCGTAAATGGGATTTCAGCGAGCCTGGCACCAGGCAGCCCTCAGAGCTGCTCTGGGGGTACTTACAGTGCATTGCTGAGAGAGCAGCAGGGCTGAGTCAAGAGCCTTTGCAAAGGCTGCCAAAGATCATTTTTTCCCAGATGCTATTGGTCCAGCGGAATGTGGCCCTGATGGACATGATCACCCACTCCAGGACAGGCAGCAGGCAGCCAGGAGGGTGAGGCCAGGGCCTTGGGCAGAGCAGGGCTGCCCCACACTCCAGAGGGTGACAGAGGCACTCCAGCACCCGGCACAGAGCCCCTGGGAGGACACATTGCAAATGCCCAAAATGGGTCTTGCTTTGCCCCATCAATAAGGAAGCTTCCCCATGATCCAAGTGCTACACAATCCACAGAACTTGGAATTCTCATGAGCTTTCTCAATTCCCAGCTCTCAAGAGGGCTGCTAGGAGGGTAACACAGTTGTCCCCACCAAGGCAGAGGGTCCCTTGAGAGGGGCTTTGCCCAGGCAGGAGGAGCAGCACCCCCCAGCCCGGAGCAGAGCAGGAGCTCTGGTGCCGGGGGTGGCACAGTGTCACACAGGGGGAGGGGGATGTTACTGTGTGTGAGCAGGAGCTGGGCTGTTCTGCTGCTGGGAGGACAGCCTGGGGCATCCAGCAGCCCCTTGGTGTCCTTCCTGCTTCCACAAGACAAAGCATTTGCACCAGAGGTCACGTCTCAGCCATGCAAAGGTTTGCTCCTTCTTCCCCTGTGCTGAGTTACTCCTCCCTCCCTCTGCCAGCTCCTTGGCATCTGGTTTCGCTTTACAGGAATCTCCTTGACCTCGTTTCCCGCATTCTGCTCTTCATCTAATAGCTGAAAGTGTGTTTTATAAGGCTGTGGTGTAATCATAGAATAGTTTAGATGAAAAAAGTCCCCAGCACTACCACGCCCACCACTAAACCATGTCCCCAAGTGCCATGTCTGTTAAATCCCTCCAGGGATGATGGTGACTCCACCACTGCCTGTGCCAGTGCTCAGTAATCCTTTCCATGATGATTTTCCCTAATATCAAATCTAAACCTCCCCTGGTGCAACTTCAGGCGATTTCCTCTTGTTCTATCTCTTGTTCCTTGGGAGAAGAGACTGACCCCCACCTCACTGAACAAGGACTGGTCCTTCTCTACGGTGAATTTGCTCCACAACTGTCCAAGCCATTCACTGGCCATTACTGTGTGTGGTTTTCATAGTCTCCATACTTGGGTTAAAGCATCCCTGATGTTGGATCACAAGCGGGGTTTGCAGTCTGGGGAGCACCAAGGAAAAGTTCTGACAATTGCAGCAGGAGCTCGTTGTGCTGTGGCAGCACTGGTCAGAACATAAGGGATTTCTGTAAGAACTAATTTATGTAGATTCACAGTAAAAGAGAAAAACCTGTGGTGTTTTCACGTTGAACACATGACATTTAGAATACATTAAGAATTCATCTGCAAACCAGACAAACCTGAGCATGTCATATGTGTCTACCACTTACTTTTGATATGCTAAATTTGCAGCCTAACCACAGCTATTTCTGAGAATTTCAAATTAGTCCTCCTAAAAAACTACTGTTGACTGATTAATTACTAAGATTGCATTAACATTAATGCTTACAACAATACACTCTCATCCCTTATTCCTCACAGGGGCAGGCATGCATGTCCTGTCTTTACCATGGTTCTTGCACAGCCCCAGGGCAGGGCAGGGCAGGGCAGGTGGAGCTCTGCTGCTGCTGCTGCCTGTGAGCCCCTGATCTGCCCCAGCTGGCCCCCACCCTGCTCTTATCACTGGGGACAGCTTTGGCCGTGCAGTGGCTCAGGCCTGGCA